CTCCGCGGCCGCAGCATCTCCGTGGGGCCTGGCTCCCTTCCAGGCTGCAGTATCCTGCTCTGCTGCAGGTCCCTTCCCCCGCGGCACCTCCAGACCTGGCGCGCAGGCTGCCTGCTTCAGCACCGCGCAGCCAGCTCTGCTCAGACCTCCTCCTCCTCACGTCCCCCTCCCCAGGGAAGCCCGCGGAGCTGCTTCACTCTCCCAGACCCGCTGGAGCTGCGGGGTGCTAGGGATTGCGGTGAGAAGAGCAGGGCGGCACCCTGCCTTTGGGGGTGACTGGCGGCGCCCGTTGTTCCCTGGCCAGCAAGGGAGAAAGGCAATGCTGAATCATCAGCCAGGCTGCTTCCCTGGCCCCGCTCCACAGGTAGCCGAAGCCAGGGCCAGGACACAGCCTGCCCGCGATGCTGCAACCCCATACTGCACGGGGCTAGCTCCTCTCGGGACCTTTTGGACAAAAATGCAGCCCCACGCTCTTTAGCGCATCTGGGTTGGTAAAGGAGCACTCTGCCTTTTGTGCCAGCCTTTGAGGCTGCGGTAAAGGCTGATGGTCTCTCACGTTGGGTCTGAAGATATGCATGTGAATTGAAGGTACAGTTCATTGATTTTGGGAGTTCTTTCTGCTCCCCTTCCCCTCAAAGCAATGCAGAAATACTTTCCTGCAGCTGCAGTTTTGAGCCTTTTACTTTTCAGTAGGGACATGGTAGCACTGGTGTGCTGTGCTTAAACATGGGTTCTGGCCCAAGCTGGAGGAGATAAGTGCCTTGGAAAAGAGCCAGCAATTGGTTAATAGAAAGGGAGACCCTGGAAGAAAACAAGAGGGAGCATGACTTTGGAGCTAACAAATTTTTACTAGGGTAGCCCATTGGTAAGCAATATAGAAAGATAAGGAAGGAAATTACTTGCCTGTTTGCAGTTAGGTTGGGTCTTTGTACAAAGATTTATTTCTGATTATTATGTGGCCTGGGTCTCTTTGGCTTAGTAGTGCGATTCTACACTAATGAAGCTAATCTGTGACTGAGATTTGGACTCTTGCCATATGTAGTTGACAGGCTGAAACTCAGAGGCTTGCAAAACTGTAATTTCATTTTCTGGAATGTTTATGCAAAGAATCAAGTGTTACTTTGCTAAGTTCCACTCCCAAAAGACTCAAGGAGAAACAAAGTCAGCATTAACCTCCAGCCTGTGATGAGGATGAACAAGCTTTATCTGTTCCTCCAGTTTTATAGGTCCTAAAAGAAGGTTTATTTCATATTACCAAACTGCAGAGAACCATTCCCTCTGGAGAACCACAAAGGTGTGAATGAAGCTTAAATAGATACATGATCATAACTGATAACATCCTGCAAATTAAAGCAGCAAGTACCATTTAACTTCAGTCATGCCATAATCAGACCCAAACCTGCTGAAGGTTTTGGAAATTAGGCTTGGTGAGTCATTCTCATGGAACCCATTGGATTTCAAATACCCATCTGATTTATATAAAGTCCCAGTAGTCCACAAAAAAGGTTCTCTAAGAATTATCTACTTTCTTGCAACTACTGGGACATTAGGAAAGTAAAGAATGTCTTCACAATTGGTTATTCATGGCTCTTCTGGATCACCGCTTAAGAAAGGATGCTCAGAGGACCACGCATCAGTGCAGGACAAGTGATCTCTGCCCAGACCACCACTTTCCTTTAAGAATATGTCAATTCTTCAGAAAGAAGCAAGCAGCTTCAACTGCTCCATCATGTGTTTGGGTGCACTCCCTTTTTTTTCCGTACATTGAGAAATTAAAAGCATCATAACCAAGAAGCTAAAAAGAAAAAAAAAAATGCATGCTCATTAACAAGAGATTGATGAGGAAGATAAAAGGATCTCTTTTATTGATTGCAGGCACTTTCTTCAAATTAAATAAGTGCACTATTTAAAGATGGGAGGGTGACCCAAAGTAAGTGAGCAGGCCCAATAAGCAGCATCACGGCCAGCAGTCGTGGTGTGGCAAGAGGGGGCTATCACACATGGTGAAAACAATTTTTAAACCTCCCCTCCTTAAGCCATCTCCCTTGGATTGAGGCCAACATCCTTCCCCTTTGAGTCCTTCCAAAAGCCTTCACTGAAAACTTAATTTCTCAGCTCAAATAGCACAAGGGAAAAACTTCATTTTGCTTCTACACTGGTCTTAT